ATTTCATCTCAGTAAAAAAATTTTACATTCCCCAAGTTTGAGGTGGTTGCGGTTGGTTATTGTTTACCCACTGTTGTGCATGGTTATATCCTCTGTTAAAGAATCTTTCACCTTGGTCCATATAGTGTCCTGCTTGGTTATAGTAGTCATTTGCTTTGTTATAATAGTTTCCTGCTTGTCTTCCTACATTGTCCACCATCCTTGAACTTTTCCTCTTGTTTCAGGATTTGGAATAAGATTTGCTGCATCTCGTGCTACCTCCCAACCTTTCTGTACAGTTTGTATAATAGGTTGTGCTTTCTCTTTAAGTATACCTAATGTACTCAAAATCTTCCTTCCAATTCCAAATGCACCTCTGGCTATTGTTCCCACTGCGGGCAAAAATCTGGATGCAACTCCTGCTAATGCGCCAATAAACCCATTTCTTATGGGTTAAAAAATGACGAATCCGAACAAGGACCCTATGTTTCTAAAGCGACAAAGAAAGCACTCATGATAAAAATCTTTAGTTCAACACCCAAATGCTTGGTTTATGGATATCTTGGAAAACATTCCGAGGTATAGAGAAGATGGACCACCATACTGGTTAATATTTGTTGTCAAAACACAAGATACTGTGAAGCCATACCATTATGGTCCAAAAATATTTTAGATGTGAAAACTGCTTTGACAATATTCGTTGACAAATACCAATCCAACAAAACTGACATCTGACTGTGAAAGTTCTTTCAAATCAGATGATGTAAAAAACTATCTGCGTTCAAAAAATGTAAACCAATATTTCATTGTTCGACCAAAACCATTCTGCTCTTGGTGTCATTGACGGTTGTATAAAAATGTTAAGAGACTTAAACCAACCACAAGGTGGTGAAGCAAATGAAATGTCATATGACGACAAATATAGACATTCTCCATGGCAAAGATGAGACAAGTTTTAAAATATTTACAATAACCGTAAACAAAAAGGTTTGGGAAACCACTCCCCCGAAGAAATGAAAACAACCCTGACTTAGAGAAAGACTATATATTTAATAATTTAGTCAAAAGAGACAAACAAGAAAGAATGCCGGGCTTCAAACTTCAGAAAGGTGACAAAGTAAAAATAGAAATACCTAAACGCGACCCATATGAAAATACTATTGACTATGACAACAATGGGAACCCGACAGGTACTCACATTCGTGTTCGTAAAAATAGAAGAAAGTATACAAGAGAATATTATGAAGTTTTAGGCAAACATGGCAAAATGTACACAGCTGCAAGCAGAAGATAAAACTACTATTGTCAGACCTCGTTTCAAACTTGTCAAAGTTCAAGTGGTATACTTTCAAAGACAGTTCCTAACAAATATAAGACAACTCCTGACGAATATGCTAAAGAAGTTGAAAATGACGACTAAGCAATTCTATACCATGCGTAAACTGTCATGTAAGGTGGCATGTATTCTTTACTTTGTCCCGTTGTTTGCGTATATCCTGAAACGCGATGTGTATGGTTTCCATCTCCCTTAGTGTTACCCCAGAAACAATTTATAGCAAACTGAACGTCGTCTTTAACATCATATCCTTTACCTTTTTTCATTGCTGACCAATCCCAAAATTTATGCTTATGCCAACCTGCTTGAGATGTACTTAAATCTATGTAGTGACTATGTGCAGGTAAATTTTCACCTGAAATCGTTTTACTTCCACCTGTTTCCTTTGAAGAGTTTGCACAATACAAAAACCTGTCGACTATTTGAGTCCAAGTTCCAAAACCAAGTACTACTTCTGGTCTGGTAGAGTTCATTGACGTATAAATAGAGCCTATAGGATATAATGTTTGAAGTATTTCTGTCTTTAATGTTTGAAGCTCTGTTTTGTCTGCTTTCTTGTCATATAAATCTTGAGCAGTGAATTTAATATTATGTTCATCCTTCATGACATAAACATCTTTACATCTAATGTTTTTCATCGTCGTTATGTCGTCATCCGATGTTAAACCTTGTGGAAAGTTAGGAAGTTTCCAATATAATACATCCCCATCAGTTTCTTCAAACGTTCCTTCAATACTTTCTATAGCAACAGTTGTGAAGAAATCATGTGTATGGTTCTTGTCTGCTTTCTTTTCAAGGCTAACGTTTAAGTCTGTTATTTCAGAAGATGTATGTGTATGTCCAACGGCACTTTTCCTGTTTAAGGTTTCTTGTAAGTCTGTTATTTCAGATATAGAATGTATATGAGTCTTTTTAGAATATTCGTTTTCAGCTCTTGTCACTTCACTTGACATTTTATTGTCAACATATGTTTTGTCTGCTAGTTCAGGATGAGTATGTTCTTTTGTTGCATAAGCATTGTTAGCTCTTTCTTCTTCTTTTGCTATTGCATCGTCTACATATTCTTTGTCAGCTTTGTTGTCAATATCTGCTTTCAAAAGAAGTTCATTTATAGGTTTCTCGTTTAAAGTTCCTTTTGTTGGATTTATACAGACAGTATTGTTCTTATTGTCTTGAAACAGAAACTCATCTGTTAAAGGGTTTAATGTCAGTTTTAAGTTTCCTTCTTTCAATGACTCAGATATCTTAGAATAGTTTGAAAAGTTTGTTGTGTTCTTATTTAGAGCTTGCATAATGAGTTGTCGGTTGTGTTGTATTTCTCTCATGGAAGCAATATCTTTCGACATTTTTATTCTAGATAAAATATGCTTTCAATAGAAAAAGAAAATTCAAGAGTTGCTACAACTAAACCATTAGATGAACTTTTTACTAATGTCGGTCAAAAAGTTTGAGACAGAGACCGTAAAGCATGAAGGCTATCGTTTTGACTACCCATTAAGATGGCTAAGAGACCCATCTGTCACAAAAGCTATTGGCTTTCGTAGAATGAAGTTTGTGTCTGTAGAAGATAAAAGTTTTCCATTTATTGTAAAGTTTCATATAGATTATATATCTGAAGGGAAACGAAAAATGTGGGAAGAAATTGAGCTAATACAAGTTGACCTTTCATCTTCTCTACAGACTGCGTTAAAAAATATAGAAGATAAAATAAATTCATGTTATGCAAAATATGCTGATGAATATGCAAATACCGAGAGCACACTTTATGTGAGAATTGTATATGACAAACAAAATTCACAAGTGTCATTTCAAATCTACGAAAACAATCCAAATAAAGACGAACAAATATATACAGAATTCACTGCAATGTCATGGTATTATTTGCAAAGAATGTTAAATCAGAAAGTCGAACTTCCTTTAGCAAATATTTACAGTCGATATGCAAGAGATGAACCATATTTATTTAAAGATGTTTCGACCAAGATGCTATTATTGTTCATGCTTCATTTTCTGGCGCCCAAAACTCTTTCTTATGCTTGGCAAATGACTTTTACGAAAAACCTACAAAGTTATACGAACCACCAAGTGGAAGTATTTCAGACTTTCAAGTATGGTTTACTACAGATGGAAGAAAAAGAATAATTCCATTATACCATGCGTTTTACTTAGAACTTAGTTTCATATACAACTACTATCGAACGGTAAAAATATAATTTTTTAATACGGTTGAGGTGTTGGATTTGGTTGCCAACTAGACTGTGGTGCAGGTTCAGGCTGTTGTATAACAGGAGCTTGTTCTTCTGGTTCAGGGTCTTTAGGTATAATACCAACAAACTGACCTACTCTTTTACCAATATTTTTGACACCGTTCCATACTCCTCTTCCGACAGATTTTATTCCATTCCATATACCTCTTCCAACATTTCGAAAGAAGTTTCCAATACTACTGAAGAAACCCATTTTACTATATGTAAAAATCTAATGTCCACCTAGTCTCTTACGTTTCCTGTTGAGTTCCATAGCATTCTTTAACTGGAGCTCATACATTCTGTTTCTCCTTGGTAGAAAACATATTCTGGGTCAACTCCTGTGTTCGCGTCATCTGCATAAAGTTGTTTATATCCCACTTCGGGTTTGTATAAAACTCTTTCCATCTCATATTTGCATACCATGGTGGCAAACCTAACGCAGCGTCATTTGACATGGCAGTTTGCATTTGTACATCTGTTGGCACTTGACCATAGTTTGCCATTGCAGTTTGTATTCTAACTTCATTTGGAATATTCTCTGGGTTTGGTTGTCCAGGTTGCTGTGCATTCGCTAAGTTCTGTGCGTCCATTTAATATTAGATAAAAATATCTCTTACGAGTACATATACTGAACATTTGCAGGCATTGGTTCATCTTCATATTCTCTGTACTTTTCTGCCACGTCAAAGAAATAAATGACACAATGGAAAAAACCTAAAACAAGTAGTCCTATTTCAAACCACATTTACTTACTAATAAAATTTCTTTGTTATGACACTTTCTCCAGTTTATAGGACCTCTCTCATATTCTATCTTGTCATATATAAACTCATAGTCATGTATGTCTTCTAACCATTTCATAACGGTTTCCAAACCACTTTTATCGGATGTAAAGTAAAAGCATGGATGGTTATGTATAACGTCTAAAGTTTCTAAAGAGTCTCTCAAAGTCCAGTCTACTTGGTATTGAAAATCCCATGTGTTATAGAACGGCGGGTCCACTATAAAGAAAACATTTTCCTTGTCTTTATATTTTTCATACAACTCTGTCCAATGACATCTCACAAACTCTATACCCTCAATATATTTTTCTATGTCCTCTTTGAAAACATTTGTATAGTTAAGATATAAAACTTTTGACATAAGTGTTTCAATGTCATGAACTCTTATAGAACCACTATATAATAGTCTAGCAGATATACTATCCCAGTCTATATATTCTGCTTTTTTCAAAACCTCTCTCACAATATTTTTCTTATCTAATGGTATACGTTCCATCTTACCTATAGGTATCTTTTCTTTTAACTCTTTCAATATATTGTTTGTGTCTGGTATATGTTTGAGACGGTCCATATAGTTGTCGAAGTCATTGCATATAATCTTTGAGTCTGGGAATATTATATGACATAAATGGGATATATAGAAACTTCCACCGAACAAATCTACAAATGTTAGACCATTCGGTAGTTTCTTAAGTTCTCTCAATATAATATCTTTACATCTACTCTTATTTCCAAAGAACGGTAACGGCGGTTTTGTAAAATTCATTTATATATAATAATAAAAATGTTTTTTCCTGAAAAGTGACAGAAAAGTGACAAAACATGAAAACATATATAATTTGTGAAAAGCGACACATTATATAATGTTTTCGACCCAGAAGAAGGCTTCTTCCCAGAAGCAATGGAAGAAGAAGAGTCCTCCGAATTCACACCAGAAGACTAACAATTTTCCGAATAAAAACTTCATTTATACTAAACATCTTCGGGGCTAGAGGGCACGAAGTGCCTGGAAGCCCCACTACCTTTTTTTTTTTTTTTTTTTTTGAATTGATAAATTGAGAATAACATACAAAAAATATCATATGGAAAGATTATCATCAACTCTATTTTGGCCCCGACCTATTGCAAGCAGTCTTTCATTGCGAGGGGATAAATTATCAAATAACAAACTCCTTTATTCAGGCAGAAGCACAGACTCGAATATTTCAAGTAATAAATCTCGCTTAAGTCTTCCTGTACTAATATCTACCGAAGAAAAGGATAATATTACTAAAATTAAACCGGTATTTAAAAATTTACTTGAAAATGTATCGAATTTTGTTTCTCATAATGGCTCAACTCCAAGTATTCGAAATAAAATGGAAGGTGTGCTAACTGATGTCGATAGATACTTTACTGGATTTTATAATCAATTAAATAAATCTGGAGGAACTACAATTTCAGTCGCAAAATTGCAATCTCAAGGAAACTTAACCCCAATGATAAAAAATACAGCAATGCCATTTATTAAAACATGGTCTCAGTTTGTTATTGTGTTAAAAGAGATACAACAAACTGGTTTAGATTTGATTTCCAATTCAATAGATGATAATTTCAACTTTATTTTAAATTCCCTTGACAATGTTCTCAAAGGTGAAGGATACAATTCGGGAATACATGATCCTGTTGTCAAAAAAATCAAAAGATTTCAACAAATGATCTGGACTTTTCAAGGTCAAATTGGAAAGTTCATTCTAATGACGCAAACCCAAAAACTAAGCTCAGAAGAAAAAATATCTCAAGATCTAAAGTCCTTTTCCCGCGATCTGTCTGCTACGTTCTCAACTGATTTTGCTAACTACGCAAGAAACTTTCCAGAAAACGAACGAGCCAGAAACAATGCTTATAATTCTGTAGCAGATATTATTTCAATGTTGAGAGCAACAATACTTTACGATGAAGATATTAAGAAGATCAACAACTCTCTTGAGCCCCTAATTCCGACATTTGAAATAATCGCAGAGAATTTAAATCTAAAAGATATAATGCGGGGAGAAGAAAGAGAAAATAAACGACAAAAGAAGATGAAAATGAAAAAAGAGAACAGTAACAATCAGCAAAATCGAAATTTGGATATTGGAAATGAAAAATCTAGAGATGAAAGCGATAATTATTTCTCGAAAGATATAGATGTTAATGATTTGATTGATCGTGGATTCATTGTGTTCAAACGTCCAAATCTTACCTCTGATCGAGTAAAGGAGTTCTTTGATGCCCTTCGATCTTCAGTTGGGAAAATTCTTGATGCAAAGGCTGAGTTGGAAAAGATGATAGCTGATAAAGATCAGCAACTACAATTTTCTGAATCATTTAAAGAGAGGTTAATGCAAGAAACTCAAAAAGTCGCCACACTTAGGGCTTCACTTTCATCATCGCAAGACAAACTAAAATCATTAGAAGAAGAACTTCGTTCAGAGCAAGAAAAAGGAAATGTAGACGGTCTTAGAAAATGTCTTAAGCAAGTACTATGTTACTTCCGTTCAAAAAAAGAAGAAAATTCTGACACTAGTGAAAATGAAGGTAAAATTGATGCTTTGAACGAAAAAGAATTTCTTCAAAATTTAGATATGCCAAATAGATCTTCAGATAACAATTTAATAGATAATGTAACAAATTTGATGAACGATCCAAAAGTAACAACTTGCAAAAAATGCCAAGAATTCGATAATTTTTATTTCAAACTGTCTCGGATCCTTGGCTCTTCAACTGTCCTTGAAGAAGCCCAAGCGTTGGTAAAGCGTGCTAATGCATCAGCAAAGGCAGAGGGTAAGCTCCAACAAGAAATTGTGGAACTTAGAAAAGAGAAGGCAGATCTTGTTGGATCAATTGGTAAAATTTTGGATATATTTGGTGTCACAACACCATCTGCAACTTTGATATCTGAATTTGCTGTTCAGTCTGTTGGGGAACAAATTAATCTTCTAAATTCAAAGCTTAAGAGGCAGGAAGATTATAGGCGTCGTGAAAGAGAATTAATATCTAAGAGAATAAGTGACATGTTTGTGGTCAAGTTACAAGATAACATATATTCTCAACTCGATGATGTAAAGGCCAAGTTTGCTTTTCACGAAACTACAATTGATCAATACAAAAATACCCTGGAAGAAGCAGAAACCAGACTTGTGCTGTTTCTTGGCACTAAGAAATCAGGAAGACCAATTGTAGAAAGTATAAAAAGCCTACTTACAGAACTCGAAACTAGGCAAAATCCACTACAGGGAACTGTTGATACTCTTAAAAGAGAAATAATGGAATCTACTGAAGCATTCGTTGATTGCGAAAGAACAATGGCAAGAATAACACGAGAAAAGTTACACGATAACTCTAATATGAGATTAGATCAAAGAATTCAAAAGCTTGCTAAAAGCTTAAGAACCATAGAGTAATCATGAAATTTATTGTTTGTATTGATAAAACTTATTTTTATTTTTCATGAATCAGATTTATAATTTAAACTATACATTAGATTAGATAAATGATAACGTATTATCTCATAAATTATACGAATACCTCCTCCTGCTTTTGCTTTTTGGAGGGCAGTTTTCTGGTTCATGAACTGCATTCGGCCTTCGAGGAGTATCTTTATCTTTAGAACTGCATTTAATTGATTGTTCAAAAAGAGCCATATATCTTGAAGGCTGTTGCTTTATTGTCGGTAATGTTGGTGTAGACATCATTGAAGGTAAATTTGGAGTTGACATCATAGGTGATATTCCTTTCATGGTTTTCTTGGAACAGACGGGGGCTTCTACAGCTTTCTTTTGGGAAATCGGCACAAATGAAGCTTCAACACGTCGAAGATATGGGAAAGGTGGAAATGTGAATTCTTCAACGGCGCGCATCTTAACAAGAAGCGCCCCTGCTTTATTATTGTTTTCACCGCAATATTTGGAAGCGCTAAAAACTGTAAAAATTTTATTTTCGTGTAATTTCTCAATACCTCCGTCAACACACTGATGGCCGCGAATAATAATATCTATCTTATTATGTCGTATAAAATCGTATGTAATAACTTGACCAAAAAGGTATCCTAAGCCTCGCGGTGATGTTTCAAGGGTATCAGTTTCATCTGTAGGGTCACTCCATAAAGCATCGTTAATAATAGGATTGCCGGTCTCAAAAATAGGACGTCTTAATTGTTCAAGCTGACTGATCATTTTAAAATCTGCACCTAGCCCACCATGTATACAAAAAGCATAATTATCTATGATAGCGGCTAATGGCATGTAAAAGAAAGATTCGTTAAAGGCACTTGAAATATCATCTGTTCCATATGTGCAATGGGCTTCATATGCAAACCCTCCGTAATCACACATTTCTGGAAATTCGTGATTTCCACGAATTAAAAAAACACGCGTTGGATATAGTACTTTGAGAATATAAATCAGAGTAATCGTTTCAGTTGAAAATTCACCACGGTCAACATAATCTCCAAGAAAAACGTAACTGTGTGGCGAAGGAAGATGAAACTTTTTCAAAATTCGAAAAAGATCCATAATATGCCCATGAATGTCGCCCACAACAACAGTATTTGGTGGTGCAGTAACAATGTTTGGTTCTTTTTTGAATAAATCTGTGACATTGCGGGTTAATTGGATCAAAACGTTGGGAGGAATCATTGGTAGCTTAAGTATTTTTGCCTTTGATGTATAAAGCTCCAGATCTGTGTTCATGATATTCATATAATTATCTAAAATTGTTCTATATAATGCTTTTTGGATATCCATAAAATTCTGAAAATAAAAAAGTGACACAAGTTCTTTTTACATAGTGTTTCTATATTGTTATTAGTTTTTTTGTCACTTTTGTATAAAAATTATTTTGATAATGGGGTTGAAGAAGAAATCTGAATCATATAGGTCTTTCAGATTTGAAAATCATTCTGTTGAATCATACTCATAAGATTTCAATACTAATAGATTCAACAGAGTTGAGCTCAAAGTTAATCGAACGAATACAATTTGGATAAAGTTACCGTACCATTATCAATTTGTTATTAAGTTAAAGGTATAGCACAATTAAAATTTGGTCAAATCCTAGTTATGTGTTAGCTACATATCCATATTCAAAAGGATGAGTTATGCCATGAAGTCTGCTTGCACAATAACTTCTGTTTCAAACGTTAGTTAGTTTATTTACACAAATGTATGATGAATTGTTATATTGTCTTGAGGGTTTGATTAAATTTAAATTATTGCACTAAAATTTATCATAAGAAAAAAAAAGGATATTTATCTTATATTTGGATTTTTCCATTTGGGTTGTAATACATGTAGTCCTCATTCGCAGAAATCAAGTTCTGATATTATATTTTGATAATTAAACTGAAATATGTTTTCGTTTTATTAATGAAAATATGATAAGTAAGTACGATAGAATTTAATCACGGATTTAAAATTCAAGGTATATGATTCTATACAATAATCTGCAGTATTTTGCCTTAACTTGAAAAACGAAGAAAACGATGGAATTTATGGATAATCTGAGAGTTTATAATGCAACCTGCGAGAGTAATATCTTAGATCAGAGAGTAATATTGTTATAGACCGAAAATAGATTTTTTCGGTTTTCTCTTCAAATAATTGAAAGAATGATACTATTATAGGTTTATTATATTATATAGCATATAATCATGCTATAGCCGAAAATTATAAGTTTTGAGAAGATTGAATATAACACAAATAAATTTGAATGTGAGTTAAATTGCTTGTTGTTTTTAATAGCTATTTAATGAGAAATCCAATATTGCAAAATTCAAATTGAATGATTGAAAGAACAGAAAAAGTCATTCTTTTCAATTTCGAATATGTTTCATTGTATTTATAATTATATGGCAAATAAGATATTTAAACTTGATTTTTGAAGGAAAATTCACAAAATTGAATAAATTCAAATAATTTTTATTCAAAAATAAACTAGTTATTTGAGTTTAATACTAATTATCTATTCAAACTACAAAGTTTGTAATTTAAAATATTTTGTGAGATCAGATTGAATTAATTCAAGGTTCTTTTCAATTAATATTAATGACCATATTACGCATTTTCGAACATTCTAAACCAAATATATAAAAATGGGAGACGAATGTTAAATTTGCTAGACATGGGGGAGTTGTCTGCAAAGTTTTAGCTCTTATCTCTAACAAAAAATTAATTTTTAAAAAAAAGACCGAATACGTTTCACAGCGAGAAAAAAATAAAAGGCAAAATAGAATTTTCTAGACATAAAGAAGTTGTTTACCGAGTTTTAGCTCTTATCTCTAACAAAAAATTAATTTTAAAAAAAATGACCGAATACGTTTCACAGCGAGAAAAAAATAAAAGACAAGATAGAATTTTCTAGACATAAAGAAGTTGTTTACCGAGTTTTAGCTCTTATCTCTAACAAAAAATTAATTTTTAAAAAAATGACCGAATACGTTTCACAGCGAGAAAAAAATAAAAGACAAGATAGAATTTTCTAGACATAAAGAAGTTGTCTACCAAGTGTCAGCTGTTACTTCTTCTCAATACTGATATAAAATAAAAATCTTTATTATTTATTTAACCTTTATTGTTTCATTAAACTTCATTTATTTTATATTATAGTTTTATTCTTTTAGCTACTTGTAAAATAATCTAATTTTATATCATCATTTTACCGGATTATTCTTCAGTACATCGATTGTCTATCTAAAATAATATCATTATCCTTATTCTGTTTTTTCCAAAATTCTTTTAAATATCTTTTTTGGTTAGATTACTTTATACTTTTTACTTTTATTTTTTAATTTCAAAAAAAAATTTGGTGATTGTTCTATTCTGTTACAATGTGCATTATCATATTCTAATGAATTATTCATTACATACATTTAAAAAAACTTGTTAAAAATGAAATTAAAAAATTATGTTTATTATTACGCTGTGAATGTGTCAACAGCGGTCATGCCTGTATCTGTATCCCATATTTGCCACAACCTTTCTGTATCTGCATTTGTGTATTTCGGTTTCAGCTGATACATTTGATTTGGCGTGTAATTTGTTCCAGTTAATGGATTAATTGGGAGATCTTCATGCGGTGTGTTATTATTGTACTCCCAAATAAAGGCAGGAATAGCCTGAATGCTTTGGCAGCGCTCCAATGTCGGCCAGAATCTCTCAATCTTCCCATTTTGGTAGGGAGAATGAGAGTCTGTATGCCGCCATTGGACGCAGTTAGTATGGTTATCTTGGGTACGGCGGCACTGCGTTCCACCTTACCCAACTTAACCTTAAATATTTACAAAACCGTCTGACACATAAATGACTTCACTAATGACTTCACTAATGACTTCACTAACGACTTCACTAACATTTTCGCTAACGACTTCACTAATGAAAAAATAAACTTTCTCACTAACGTTCCCACTAATGTTCTCATTTACAAAAGTATTGCAGCGCTTCCCATTGCTGTGCTTCACACAATAGTTCATATTCTTCAGTATCGCTGCTGTCACTCCAATCGTCAGAGTCAAAATCACTGTCAAAATAAATGTTAGTAAGTTTTGACAAAGCTAATGAAACACGCTTACCGTTTGTATCTATTGCTTTTATAAACTTTCCATTCTTCATTCCTTCATAAACGCTCAAACTAACTTTACCCTTTCTCCCTCGTATCTGATAGAATGTATTTTCACGAGGAACGAAGAACAAATTCTTGAACTCATGACCGTTGTAGTTTGTTATCTCAATAGTTTTCGTCATTTATATAAAATAAAATAAAAAATAAAATAAAAAATAAACTTAAAAATAAATGATATCACCACTCCCACACGTATGAAAACATCCATTTAAATTTAGGTGAAGTGGTGAGATCTCACCTCTTTTTTCACCCTGTTGAATTCATTACTTTATAACTCTCTTCCTTTCTCCAACTCTTCTAACTTCTTCTTAAGTTCAGCAATGTTGTCCTCATGAAGTTTAATCTTCCTTAATATACCTTCTTTATCTAATGGTTGCTTTATCTTTCTAAACTGAACTCTACCATCCTTCATAGTATGAATGTAAAAACCTTCTGGAATAGTTCCTGATTTAATGTATTCTACCAAAAACTTTTGTTTCATTGCTTCAGTGACTTTAGTCGTCATTTCAATCAAATAAAAATTTTAATATTAAATAAAAATAACGTTATTTTTTCAGTAAGGAAACGCAGGAGTTTTACGATTTATTTGAGGAGTAGGTTCTGGTTTAAATGTTGGAGTCGGTTTAGGAGTTGACTTTTGAACAGGAGTTTGTACTTCCATAGGTTCAGGAGTCATTGAAGGTTTTGCTTGTGAAGGCGCTGGTTTTGGCGATGGTGTCGGAGTTTGTTTAACTTCAGCTACTTCAGTATTATTTACAACATTTGCTTTATTTCTTTTCAACATCATAACTGCTCCTGCTGTAGCTAGCAAACCTAGTGGGAGACCATATCTTATATAAGGACTTGACCAAATGCTATTTTTGACAGGAGCTGGTGGAACACCTAACCTTGGTGAGACTGCTCTTTGCCATTGTGCAGCTCGTAAGAAATATTCAATAGGTGCTCCATAATCGTTTGGTAAAGTTTGTTTCATAGATGGTGAAGGTTCACGAGAGCTTGATGAAGAACTCATTTATAAGCTTTAAAAATAAACGTTCATCCTTTATTCCTCACTGTCGTCCGTAGCTAAGTTATAGTCATCTAATCTTATTATGGGGATGCCATTAGCACGCACCTGAATGGCAAAGCAACAATCCCTCATAAATCCAATAAGTGGCTTTGGTACGTTTTCAGTTGCTAGTTCAATAGGTCCTTTAACAGACAATTTGTATGTTATTGGAGCAGTAGATGTTTGACCTTGCTGGAAGCAAAAGTCCACTTCTGTTGGAAAACCACATAAGAAATGTGTGTTGTCATAGCTATCCCATTTATGTTCCACACTACCATCATCCACCAATGACCTCATAACATCTTCATTAAATCCTATCATATCATTGTTTGTATTGCAGGCGTTCGCAACCATTTCATAAAATACAGGTCCATATGATTTTTCAGGTTCTGCAGGCATATTTCCATAAGCTCCCATGGAAAGCTGAAGATATTTAAACTTAGGGTTCTCAAAATTAACATAATAGTTGTCTTTCTTTCTAAATAGTGCCCAAATACTTTTAACATTAATAGGCGTATAAGCTGCTGTAAATGTTGCACTTGAACTATCTGTATTCTTTGAGAATGAACCGTCCATAGGAATCCAATCCATAACTTTAACAGGAAAACATAAAGCCTCGTTTGTATAATGTTCTACAAGTTCTGTATAAATGTTAGGGTCTAAAGAGAATGACTTTGGATGAATGAAACATTCATTAAAATCCATCTTTGTTCGAAATAGTTGCTGGGTTACAGTTGTAATAGTAACTGTTCCACTAGCTTCTACTGCCTTCGTTATCATAGTGAATGGTTCATTCCATGGAACAAATTTATTTGTCGGTGAATTTGAATCTGAAGCAAATGCAACTTTAAGAGTTGGATTGAAAGCAATGATATCATTTACAGATATAGATGTGCATTGTAAGGCGTCGCTACTGAACTTTACTTTAAGCTGAATGTTTCCTGCAAAAGCTGGAATAAATCGAATAGCTTCTAATGGAAGGAATCTTCTAACAGGAATTCTTAAACGAAGCTTAAAATCAAATGATTTTCCTGCTGTAATTGGACCACTAACAATTTGTCCTGTTCTGCATGTTCCCGA